CTTTTTCCTGACATCTTCTATTCGCATTTATGATTACGTACGAGTATTCAATCAATCGAATTTTTTTTCTGTTCTGAATTATATGTACACTCTATAGTATAGGGTGTGATTATTCTGTACAAGTACCGAAAGTTTTCGTAAAAACAAAAAGTGAAACTAATTTTTATGTAAACAATAAAACGAAAAATTGAGAAGAGTAAATAAGTATTGTTCACTTGTTCAGATTAACTGTCCATTCTGTACATCGGATTACGCGTTCACTGTATCAAGAGCGACAGTTGCTCGATACAAGTCTTCTAAATATGAACCATCACGATTATGTTTAACAATGTACATAATGGTCGGGAATTCCTTGTGCTTGAACGCACAACGGATGTTTATCTCGATCAGCACGAATCTAAAATAAAGAATGACGCCGGTGTCAGCTTAAAATACAATGCTTGTTTAGACATACTTACAAAAATACAAACGTTGCCTGAATTTTTTAACACAAATCGTGAATTATTTGTACTAAATCGACATTCGTTTTCACGACGTGATCAACAGCCGATACTAAAACAAAAAGACGCTGATAAACATAAAAATGTAACAGCATTAATTTTCATTTTATTAAAATAGATATAATTATATTAAAACATATAAAACTCACCCTCACCCTCACTAGTTTATCTCATTATTTCCTTATTTAATTACATTTCATCAAACAATATCAATATAAAGAAAAAGGTTAAGTGTACATAAAATGTGCGAGTTTTTCTGGTTACCTATATGATGATTTTCCCTGGTTTTCTTCGTATTTGAAGAAAAGAAAAGTTATTTTTGTATTTTCGAGGACTGAGTATTGGACTGGTTTAAAAACGGGCTTTAACTCCAGTCGAGTATAATGTTTAAGACAGAAAGCGAAGGCTTTCTTTTCAGCTTTATCTGCGCACTTGAATGCTAAGAGAATTGTGTTATCTAAAGAAAGAACAAACACATTGATAGTTGCCTCCTTGACTGAATGATATGAATGTACAATATTTTACTACCAAATCATCAGGGTCCTAGGACGAAAACTAAACAAACAAAGTACTTCTTCTGCGTAAAATTAATGCTTTTGTGATAGTGTGCAAAACATCCCATCATGCTGACTCGGATCAAAACGTATCAGTTCTACTATACTAAGGAGCATCAGATGTAAAAGTAGGTCACTTAAAAGAATCTTTATAGCGTGCATAAACAAGAAGCGAGACAAAATGGCAACGCGTACGTCGAACAACGAGATTCCCCACTTCTTCTGCCTTCATAAACGTGAAGTGTGTTTTAGTGATAAACAACTTTTAGAGAACAGAAGAACGATAAAAAAGAAGAAGTACTGGCCGCGAGCGACGAGAGTTTTATGTACCTTTCAATTCTAATCTTTGCAGCTACACCTGCATCTCCCTCCTCCATTTCTTATTCTTTTTACCTTTACAAGTATAAAGAATCGGTTACATTTTATTTGTGCAAAAGTAAGTAAGTCAGTTTCAACAACAGCATGAGTGCACGAGCGCGCACATTCGTGATACGAAAAGAGCAGTCCTACTTGGACTGGAACAAGTACTGTGTCGAAGCGCTGAAGAGAAGCAAAGAAGAGATAAGGCAACGTGGTGGTCAATGTTATCGCTCTGTGACTGACAAAGTCAAAGTGCTCATACGGTTTCTTCAAATCTATGGGTGGCCTATTTTTGTCGGCGTTGTTGGCTGTTTGGTAGGGGTAGGCGCGGGTGTCGCGGTTGGAATTGCAATTGGAGGAGTTGCAGGTGCAGGCATTGGGCTTGCTGCTCTCCCAGTTGTAGCAGGCATCGTTGCCACCTTGGTTCATGTACGCCGCTCCACTGTCGATCGAAGCGACGACGGCGATGATGATGATGATGCGGTAGAAATACTAGAGGCCAACGGCGGCAGAGATGGAGCATTTCGAACGGCATGGAAATTATACAAGAACCGTGAATTGATGGTAAAGATCAAGCGATTGTTGGAACCTTACAAAACTCGTTTCGACCGATTGCAACCTGGATCGTTGCCGAGCAATCGGCGACAACTGAATTATGTATTTATCGAATGTTGTCATACCATCATTCGTGATCTTTATGAAGCCGAAATCATGCTCGACGGTAAGGTTTATTGAAAGAAAACTTTTTATCAAACTCATGTGGGAATGATATACCCATTTTCAATGTTTTTTCCTAAGCTCATCAAAACAAGGATTTTCCTTGTTAAGCTATGAACCCTAACCCGAAATTCTCTCTCCTGCTTCAAACCTAACACAAAAAAGTAGTGGTTTGCCATGAAACTCAGAGGATCATCGAAATCTTGCAAAACTTCTGAGACATGTTCAGCAAAAAGGGTTTTCACGAAATTGTAAAAAAACTCTTGCGAAAAGAAGTTACCCTCTAACACTTGTAAGTAACACTTGTTGTCATCACTTGTTGTCATACTAACACATAACTACTTATATCACCTAAATTGCATCCATTGTAGAGCCTACAGCTAAGTTTTATGCTACTTCACAATGGATATTCGAAAAAAATTCTTATCAACGCCAGAACTGCCTAAACTTATTCATTCTAATCCAAAATATACAGTCAAAAAGCAACGTGGCAATTAAAATCCAGACTTACATTTCTGTTTGTTATTCTCCTGTGTTTTATTGAGTAACCACAAAGGGTACTTATACAGAATAGACACCACATATTGCGTATATAACAGAATTGGCAAAAATTTTAATGGACGAAAAAATAGAACAATTAGAGTGATGAATTATAGGGGACGCTTGATTCAGAGATTAGAAAAAGAGAACAGTTTATAAAACTAATAAGTAATATGAAGCGAGCTATGTAACGGTTTTGAGTTTTAAATCATAATCAATTATGGGGAGACAAGCTAAGTTTGTATAAAACCGCAGTCATAAGTTCATAATATCACACTTCAACTTCTAATTTCTTCAAACTTCTTCTATAACTGTAACTGTTCTACAGGTCTTTAAAATGCCGATATATCCTCTGCCACTCATTGATGATATGACGTCGCGTGGGTGGTATCGGTTTACAGAACGCTGTTAGGTGTTGTCAAAGCCTCGGTTTAATTCCACCTAAACCAAGTGCGCCGTGCAATAATGGACATGATAACTGGACTATTGGGACATGTGCACGAGCAGTTGATGGTAAGTCGTGTTATATCTTCTGAGTCAATTATGCTGTATGCGACTTTCGTATTGTAGGATGTCGGTGGGTTTGCAACGAAAGGTCTTGTAGGCTAACACGTTCAATCCGAGATGGAACTTTCTTTGCGGGTTTCAAATTGGAGTTGAACCAGATACTTGATCTGATGGTTTTTTGGACACGAGGGGTTGACTCGCACAAGTTTCTTCGTCGTCATTGTGGTTTTGCAAGCAATTCTACGATCGTTGACTGGAAAAACTTTCTGCGAGATGTTTGTACCGAACATTTTTTGCGGAATCCGGCTGTTATTAGTGGTGTGGGTCACATCGTCGAGATTGATGAGAGTTCGTGGACCAAGCGGAAGTATAATCGTGGTCGTACAGTTGGTAATCAATGGGTATTTGGTGGCATTGACCGGGATAC